ACGTGGGCGTCAGCGTGGGTGCATGCACATTGTGCTGCGGCCGAGCAGTTTTTCCCCCTCTTCTCTGGGGGCGCTGGCGCGTGCTCTTCCCTCCTCTTTCCTCTTGCGTCTCTTGCGCTTTCTCCTTCCCCCCCCTGCTTCCAGGTTCCGTCTCCTGGTCGTTTCGCGGCGTGCTTTTGATAGCTCGCTTGGCTTATTCAGTGTCTCCGCGGGTCAGTGGCTGTTTGTTCTCTCTCTCTCTCTCTTGTGTTTCAGGCTGTAGCGCAGCTTCGCTGACGTGTATCACAGGCGTTGAAGCTGAGGTGGTCATATGTTTTGCGGAGGAAAAAACAACAGGCCCCTGTCATGCGTCGATTCAGTTGCGCGTACGTACCAACTTCACCTGACTGTCTTTTGTTAGCGTGGACGTGGTCCGTGTGTAGGTGACTTGCGTTCGATACCAGCAGGTGGAGCTGGTTGGTGAGTGTCGCCATCGTATGGTTGCTGTGTGGCATGTAATTGCCTTATGCGAGGCCGATGGCCAGTTTGGAATACGTATGCATTGTTGTTGGTGCATTGTTGTAGGTGGATGTCTGTCTGTGTATCCATGCGTGTGCCCCTATAAGCGCTGTCAGGTCCGATGTGGTTGAGGTTGATTTTTCTACGTCGGTCGCTTTGGAGTCGAGTGCTCTCGCTGCCATAGTGCCGACGTAGGCGAAACCGTTCTCGTCCTTTATTGTGGTAGCGACTGCCCATGCGTCTCTGGTTGAGTCGGTCTTATGTGTGCCGTCGATGTGCATTCGCTTGATTGTTCCGTGCTCTTATGATGTCGCTAGATCCATCGCCACGATGGCTGCTGGGTGGACCTTCTCTGCGTCGTGCAGGTCGGGGAAAGTGGTTGTAAGGTTTGGTGGGGAGGTGCGCCTGTGGACGTTAGCGTTCGGCTGGATCAGTGTAAATGTGGAACGAACCGATTCTCTCGCTTGTTGTGGTGTCTCTCTCTGCGGCTCCCCGATGTCGTCGCCCATCGCACAGAGCAGGGTCGGGTTTCGGTCGTTCGTCGTGCCTGGTGGGCGTGGTTAACCATGACCACCTTGGTGGGTCCTTCAGCACCAGCTTGTGATATGTCGGCCCTACCGTTGTAGGAGCCTTCTGTCATATCTAGTCGGGGTGGGTTTTGCGTTCGTCGAGTAAGGATTCGGTATCCCACAGCCTCTTCCGTTCCTCGAATACTCGGTGGATGCCGTATCCCATCTGTAGCATTGCCGCTGCATTGGGGCCTGGTGATAGCCCCCGCGAGGGGCAGCGGATCGTTTCACATTGTTCTTGGTGGAGCAAGATGTGGTACACGAGCTGAAGTGGTCCTTCACGGAGCGTGGGCTCTGCTAGCTAAAAAAACAAAAACAATGCGCGGCGTGGGCTGTTCCTGGTTCCTCGTCCATCGCCGCGTCGACATCGGCAGATGGAGTCCTTTGGGTCTCCGCGTGCGTCGGCTGCGTCGTCTCCGGTGGCAAGGTCTTCTGGCGTGCTGGCGGTAGGTGTAACCGGAACAGTGACGTGTGGCTTGTCGGGGTAGTCGTCCTCCTCGTTTTTCGCGCTTTTGAGCTTCTTGTAGGCGGGGCTGGGTGCTTGCGGGTTGGTGGCAACGATGGGCCCTGTCGGGTGTGCTAATGAAGCGTCGTTGTGGGCTGTTAGCTTGTGGCGTCATTTGTGCAGTTGGCGTGATGCCGTCGTACCTCTCCGTAATTGGCGATGGGGTGTCGATCGCGATGGCTTCTTGCGTAGGCGGGTCTGGTTGAGCTGGAGGTATGCTGCTGTCGGTCCCTGCTGGTGGCGTCGGGCAGTCCTGCTCGTTATTCGGGGCGTGTGCCTCCTGTGGTGTTCTCGGCGCCCTTGTTGACATCTTTGTGGCAGAAATGTGTTATGTGGCTTGCTCGTCGTGTTGGACTGTCTGCGAAGAGAAAGCCGCGAGAGCCGCGTGCATGTCGTTCTCCCTCGTCATGCCGTCGGACTGCGATTGTGTTGGTTGCGTGCTTCCGTCCTCCAGCGAGTGTTGTAGCACAGGCTGCACCGGTGGCAGGACTTGATGTAAATCCTCGTCGTCGGTAGCAATGGCCGTGTTGAGGGCCTGCTGGAGAGCATCCACCGTCTCCTCGTTGCCTAGGCGTTCTTGGGCCTCGTAGCAATTCTGTCGGACTTGACGGTGCTCTTGGGTTGCCTCCTCGCTTCGCATCTCGTGTGTATCCCTCATGTTCTTCCATGGGGTCTCCTCTTGGCGGTAAATGTTCATCTCTTGTCGCAGTGCACGCTGCTGCTCTGCTGTGCCCGTTTCCGCCCTCTGTTCCATAAGTTGTGCACGTCCTTCAGCCTTTCGCAATTTGTGATGCACCTGCTGCTCGAATGTAAGGTGCGCGTTGGATGTGATCGTTGGCGTCGGCCTTCCTGATGGTCTCCTCCAGCTCTTCCTCGGTCCTTTCGAACGCTGCCTCTTTCGCATTTGCATGTGCTCGTGGCTCGATGCCATCTTCTCGGTTGTCTGCCTGGCGCTCTGGATCTCGGTCATCAGCTCGTCGTACTACCGTTGTGTTTTGGTTGCTTTCAAATGCTGGCCACGCTGGTGTTGTTGAGTCTCTTCTTCTACCTTTCGGAGGTGTTTCTTTAGGTCCTGGATCTCGTTGTTGGTTTAAGTCTTGGATCTCGTTGTTGGCGTCATAAGCCAGACGTTGGTTGTCCTCCATGGATCCTGAGCGATGTGCCGACGTCCCAACCCTCGGTGGTCTCCCTGGCTCTTGTGTGTCTTCTTGTCGCTGGGGTGGGGATCCTTTTTGGGGGTACCTCACGTTGGGTTTTTCTTGCTGATGGTGAAAAACTTCACGTTGGGTTTTTCGGCCTTTTCGTCGGCGGCATCGTTGTCGCTGTAACAGTCGCCCTTGGCGTTGCTGATGTCCCGCTGGAGAATGGTGAGCTCCTCGATCTTGTTCTCTGACTCGCTCATCTAGACCTGCATCTATCGTGTAGGTGTTTTTTTGGTGTGCTCGTAGTAGTCCTCCATGGTGTGCTTCGTTGTGCCAGGGACATACTGTTGAGGATCATGGCCTTGGTGAAGGCGATCTGTGCCACGGCGTCTGTGGTAGGTAGTCCTGCTGCATTGTTTTTAGCAATGGCTGCTGCGGCCCGCCTCATCTCGATGTATGAGCTTCTTCCAGTCGTCCCTCAACTTGGGGTCGTTGGGCGGTAGCTACCAGTCGTGCCTCCTGGTGGCGTAGATCCTCCCCATGGGCATGACATTGCTGATGGTGTTGGCCATATGGTCGTTGTAGTTCTGGGTATCCTCCTTCTTCTTGTTCTGCTTGGTCTTGCCCTTGCCCTTCTTGGGCTTCTCCTTGCCTTCTGGGGTCCAGTTGTCGGGCTCTCGATGTCGTCCTTCGCGGTCCGCCCTTCCGTTGTGGTTGCTGCCCTTGCCCTTGTGGCTGTTGCTGTTGTGGCTGTAGCTCTGGCACCCAGTTCTTGTCGGGGTGCTCCTTGGCCCCCTGGTCCGTCCAGTCGTGGCTATTCCAGCGTGCGAGACCCGCTTCAATTGCCGGTGTGGTGGATCTCGGCGAAGCTGGCCTGCTTCGTGGGCGGCTCGAGGTTGACCTCCACGGTGGCAGCGCCGTTCCCGATCCATTCGCAGTTGCACTCCATGACGTCGCCTTGGTTGGAGCTTGAGGCGGATGTTGCGGTGGCTGCTGTGCGCTGTGGTGCGCCTGTACTAAGTCGAGCTCGTGGTGCGTGTGCTGTTCGAGTCGGTCACGTGCTGATGCTACTCGTAAGAGCGTGCGTGCTGCAGCTTTCTTTTCCCGTCCCCTGCGGTGCCAAGCAGGGTTGGATGGCGACGGGGTCGTCGTGTGCTGACTGGTGTGGGCGTAGGACGTAGTCGTCGAATCCGATGTGGTGCTTGGCCAAAATGGACCTGCAAGTTGTGCCGTGCAGGCGCAGACGCCGTCCTGAATGTAGTGTGGTCGGAGACAGTCTCTTCACCTGAGTTCCCTGCTGAACCTGCGCTAGGGAATGTAAGCAGTGAGAGAAAATAAAGGATTTAAGTGTAATGTGGGAGAGGATGTATATGTAGTATATGAAGGATAACGAGAGCGCTGGTTCGCGTGGCCGTTTGGTCAGCACGCTGACACTGACACGCCCCAATCGCTTAGCGGTTCGTGGCTTGGGTTTACATTGGTCCTCCTCCTCCTCCTCCTCCTCTTTCTCTTCCTCCTCCATCCTTTCTCCTTTTTGACATCTCTTTCCTGCCGCACCCCAAACGTGATGGTAGGGCGGGCTGGGCGATTCGTTTGAGACTTCCTCACCATTCCTGATCCTGAAGCTTGAAATGTCCACCAGTTTCACAGATGGAGGGCGGGTGGTTTCAACTCGTTTTGAAAGTTTGCCACAGCTTCCTGACGGAAGGCAGGCCGCCTTCAAGATATAGTTTTCGTGTTAGCGCCGCGCAAACTTAAAGTGTCCAACTGTGTCATGGTTAGATAGCGGGCCGTTTTCAAAATGTGGCTCTCGCCTTCGCGCCGCGCACATTCGTTTTGAAAGTTTGCAGCAATTTCAGGCGGTAGTCAGGCGAGACCTCGCGGCTCTGGGAGGGTGCGAAGTGCGTACTTGTTGGCAATTTCATGGGCTCCTGGGAGGTCCAGCGGAGGCGGTAGTCAGGCGAGATCTCGCGGCTCCTTGGGAGGCAGCGAACTGCGCAACTGTTGCCACTGTCGCGTGCTCCTGGGAGGTCCGGCGGAGTAGATTGCAAAGGCCTTACGGCCAGTGCCGCCGACCCTACAAAGGGGGACGACGACGAAGACAGCGACGATGAAAAAACTCAGAAAGCTACGGAATGGGAGGGAGGAGGAGAATGGGGGACGGAGGAGGTGACAGGGGAAGGGGAAGAGAGGATCTTTCTCTCTTTTGATCTGCGGGGCGAGAGCGAACCTCTTCCGAAGTCGGAGCGGATTTTCCTCGCCGCGTGCGCTCTGGTGTGGGGCGTGAGGGCTGTGGCTCAGGGCTCGCGCGGGCCGTGTACCCTGGGAGCCTCTCCCCCGCGACCTCGCGGGAGGCGTGCGCGCGGCCGCCCCCTGCCAGCTCCGCGCGGTCCGCCCACGGGCTCCGCGCCCTCCGCCGGCCATGGCGCCGCCCGCCCGCGGAGCCCGCGCCGGCTGCTGCGCGCGTAGGGCGCTGGCCGCGGCCGCGGCGGGCCTCGCGGCGGAGGCGGGCTGGGCGCCGCTCCGTCGCCGCCGCCGCTGCCCTCGGCCCACGGCCCACGCCGGGCCCTTCCGGCCTCGGCCGGCAGCGCCTCTTCCCGCGGCGCGGGGTGGCGGGGGGGAGTCGGCGGTTCAGAGAGGGAGTCCTGAGGGATGGGGTCCTGAGGGCGAGGTTCCCTGAACGGCGGCGCCAGGCCAGCCTGGGATCCCTTCCGCCTAGACATCCGACGTCTCGGTTTTCTCGAGACACGGGCCCCCGACCTCCCGACCACTTCCCCGGGACCAGTTTTTCGTCCCGAACCGTTTTTTGACGGTCCCGAGGCCCGGCGAGGGCCTCGAGAGGTTGAAAACCATGAAAAACCTCCGTCTCGATTGTTTCGAGACGCCCGATGCCTGGGCCATCCCTAGGGCCCCATCCCTCAGGGCCGCATCTTCGAGCCGCCGATGGAGGGGGCGTGGCGGCAGAGGCCTGGGGGGCTCCATCTACCCTGACCGATGCCGGCCGGGCCAGCCTAGGGCTCGAGCTGAGAGTGGGCCAGTGGCGGCTCCTCGCAGCCACTGGCCTCGTGGTCCCCCCTCGCGGCTCTGGCCAGAGCTCGCCGCAGGACTCGGCTGCGCGCAGAGGGGGTGGGAGGAGGAGGAGGAGGAGGAGGAGGAGGAGGAGGAGGAGGAGGGGAGGAGGAGGAGGAGGAGGAGGAGGAGGAGGAGGAGGAGGAGGAGGAGGAGGAGGAGGAGGAGGAGGAGGAGGAGGAGGAGGAGGAGGAGGGAGGAGGAGGAGGAGGAGGAGGAGGAGGAGGAGGAGGAGGAGGAGGAGGAGGAGGAGGAGGAGGAGGAGGAGGAGGAGGAGGAGAGGAGGAGGAGGAGGAGGTTGAGAAGGAGGAGGAGGAGGATGAGGAGGAGCAAGAGGAGGAGGAGGAGAGGAGGAGGGGAAGGAGGAGGAGGAGGAGGAGGAGGAGGAGGAGGAGGAGGAGGAGGAGGAGGAGGAGGAGGAGGAGGAGGAGAGGAGGAGGAGGGGGAGAGGAGGAGGAGGAGGAGGAGGAGGAGAGGAGGAGGAGGAGGAGGAGGAGGAGGAGGAGGAGGAGAGGAGGAGGAGGAGGAGGAGGAGGAGGAGGAGGAGGAGGAGCCCTGCTTCTTAGAAGGCGGGGGCTTTGTCTATGGATGTAAGGCCTGCGCCTTCTAAGAAGCAGCCTCCTCCTAAGAGGCCTTCTCCCCTCCCTCCACCGCCTTGTGCGCGCCGCCAAAGGACAGGTCTGGGGCCCGATCTTTGGCCGCACTGGTCCGTGAGAGGGCCACGGTGGAATGCTTTTGGCAACTCTCGGCTCCTGGGGGCCCCGATCGGGCCCCAGTGCCGTCGAACGCTGGCTGGAGACAAGAACGTTCCCAGGGACGGGGTCGAGACCTCGGGGGGTCCAAGCTGTGCGGAGATCGCGACGCCGGGGGTCTGGAGATCTGCTCTTTATGCACTTTCTCCTCTTCTTTCTCCTACTCTTTCTCCTCCTCTTCTTTTTCCTCCTCCTCCTCCTCCTCTTTCTCCTCCTCTTTTTCCTCCTCCTGCTCCTCTTTCTCATGCGGGTGCACCTTCCTGGTTAGGCCGCGAAGCTGGCGAGTCCAGAACATACCCTCTCAGGGTATGATAGGGTATGGGCAGGTAGATGGCGTCCCCCCGAGAGGCGTTCTACCTCCCTGGGGTGGCCCCCAACGAGTATCCTGCAGGGGGGCAGGTGGACCTAAAGGTCAACAAACTGACATCCGTCAAGACTCAGCTGCCATTTGGGTACTACACGCTACCCTACTGCCAGCCGAAGCAGATCCAGGATAGCGTCGAGAACCTCGGAGAGCTCTTGGTGGGCGACATGATCGAGAATTCGCCCTACGACATTCGGATGCTGCAGAACGCCACATGTGAACTTCTTTGCAGTCAGGCTTTCACCAAAGAGCACAAGGATCACTTCCGCAGCATGATCGACGATGGCTACCTGGTGAACTGGATAGTGGACAACCTGCCAGCCGCGACCCGCTACAGCAGAAAGGCAGTTGGCGGCCCCGACTACCACTACACGAACGGGTTCCCCGTCGGCGTGGAGCGGGCTGGCAGGTATTATTTGCACAACCACGTCAAACTGAGCTTCAAATTTCACGCTAGCCCGTACGACTATGAGGGCTACAGGATCGTCGGCTTCGAAGTGGAGCCTCACAGTATGACCCAGGGGCAGATGGGGCCGAACGGGTGGTCGCCGACCCTGTGCCAGGACACATCCGCCGAGCCAGTGTTTGATATCGACGCGCACGACAATGTGGCGTACACCTACGACGTGGAGTGGATAGAGAGCGACCTGCGATGGGCCTCTCGGTGGGACAGCTACCTGAAAATGACGGGTGGGCAGATTCATTGGTTCTCCATCCTGAACTCGCTCATGATCATGCTCTTCCTGTCTGGCATGGTCGCGATGATCTTGCTGCGGACCCTCTACCGAGATATAACCAAGTACAACGAGCTCGCCACAGCGGAAGAGGCCGCCGAGGAGACGGGCTGGAAGCTCGTGCACGGCGACGTCTTCCGCAAGCCCGTGCACTCGAAGCTGCTGGCGGTCTGCGTCGGCTCGGGCGTGCAGATCCTGGGCATGTCGGCCGTCACCCTGCTCTTCGCGCTGCTGGGCCTGCTGTCGCCGGCACACCGCGGGGGCTTGCTGCAGTCGATGATGCTCCTGTTCACGCTCATGGGCATGTTCGGGGGCTTCGCCTCGTCTCGCATGCACAGGCTGTGGGACGGGGGCGACTGGAAGCTCACGACCTTGCTCACTGCATTCTTGTACCCAGGGACGCTGTTCACCGTCTTCTTCGTCTTGAACCTGTTGATCTGGGGGCAGAAATCCTCTGGTGCAGTGCCTTTCACCACGATGTTTGCGCTCCTGGTCTTGTGGTTCGGTATCTCCGTCCCTCTTGTGTTCCTCGGCGCGTACATCGGCTTCAGGAGGCCTCCGATTGAGGTGCCCGTCCGGACGAACTCCATAGCCCGGCAGATTCCAGCGCAGCCTTGGTTCATCCAGCCAGTGTTCACCTCTGCGGTTGGGGGCATCCTTCCCTTCGGCGCTGTCTTCACCGAGCTGTTCTTCATCATGTCCTCACTGTGGCAGCACCAGTTCTATTACCTCTTCGGTTTCCTAGCGCTGGTGCTCGTTATCCTGGTCATCACTTGCGCTGAAATATCGATCGCGATGACGTACTTCCAGCTCACGTCGGAGGACTACCACTGGTGGTGGCGCTCCTTCTTCTCGAGCTCCACCTCCGCGGTGTACGTGTTCCTCTACTCGGTGCTGTACTTCTCGACGCGCCTGCAGATCGAGAAGGTGGTGTCCACGATGCTGTACTTCGGGTACATGTGGGTGATGTCGCTGACCTTCTTCTTGCTCACCGGGTCCATAGGCACGATCTCGTCCTTCTTCTTCGTGCGGGTCATCTACGGCTCGATCAAGATAGACTAGGCCTCGAGCGGTCCGAGGCGGGGCGGCGGAGCCGCCGGAGCCCTGAGGCAGCTGCCGAGAGCGGGGCCCTGGGGCGGAGACCGCGGGAGACGTGGCCCCTCCCCCCTCGCCCCTCCATCTTCCCCCTCCCTTCTTTCCATCTCCCCCCTCGCCCCCTCCCCCCTCGCCCCTCCATCTCCCCCCTCGCCCCTCCAGCTCCCCCCTCCCTTCTCGCTTCTCTTGGGCAGGCCGCTGGGCACGCCTACCCGTGCCGTCAGGGTCCGTCGGCGATGCCGGCGGGTGAAAGGGCAGCACCCTCTCGAGGCAGGCGGCGGGCGGCACCGACGCTCGGAGGCAGAGGAAGTTAGCGGAGCAGAGCAGCAGCTCCACCACCCCGAGCTCCTCTGGCGTCCCTCCTGGCCACCGGCTCCTGGAGGACGAGCTCCGAGCTTCCAGTGCTGCCGCCGTCGAGCAGAAGGCGCACGGACCCGTTTCTCGCAATCTATGTGGTGCTATCTATGTGGTGCAATCTTCGTGGCGCAATGTAACATCGGTTTTGCAATCTATGTGGAGCAAGATGTGTGGTGCAATCTACGTTGTGCAATCTAGGTGGTGCAACAGCTGTTATACAATCTATGTTATTCAACCCATGTAGTGCCATCTAGGTTTTGCAATAGATGTGGCGCAATATATGTCGTTCTATCTATGTGGAGCAGCATATGCGGTTCAATATGTCTGGTGCACCCTATGTTGAGCAATACATGTGGGGCAATATACGTGACACAATGTAGGCTTTGCAGTATGTGTGGAGCAGGGTATGTTGTACAATCTATGTGGCGCAATCCATGCGTTGCAATTTCTACAGTGGAATACAGTCTGTGCAGCATATGTTTTGCAGTACATGTTGTGCGACCTATGTGATGCTGACTATGCTGTAGAACATACGTTGCGCAATTATATTTCATATGTATGTATACAGTGCAATGTACATATACATACCGACCTACCTACCCACCTACATCCATCGATCCATCTGATTGTAGTGATTCCTCGACGCGCGGGGGCTCTGGCTTCAAGCTCTCATTCACCGGGCGCCCTCGCGCGCCCGTCCCTCCCGCGCACCATCCAGTGGATGCGCGCCTCGCCCCTGGCGGCTGCGGCGCCCTGCGTGCACCTGACCCCTTGCGGGGCCGGCACCTGGCCGGCCGGCGTGGCCCCTGGCGCGGGCCCCGCTACCCGGGACGTGGGTCCGCAGCTGCCTGCGCCGCTTCGCCTCGGAGGCCGAGGCAATCGCGGGCTACCCTGCCGAGGCTGACCGCCACGGCGCCCCAGTGCCGCCTCTCCTCCACCGCGGGGGAAGATGGCTCAGGAGGAGAACGCGTTCGACACTGGCGAGGAGGAGGTCGAGGACCTGGGCGCCTGGTTTGGGCACGCCACGCCCCAGAACGTGGCGGCCGCAACCCTGCTGCCCGCCCCTGCTGCTGGAGGGATCGCTGGAGAGTTCGGGTTCCTCACCCTGAAGGACAGCGTCGGCTCGGACTACGAGGTCACGGTGGCGGCGCTGCGAGTGCGGGCCGACGCCCTCTCGACTGGCGGTGGTGCCCTCGGGTCGGCTCGACACGGCCTACGAAGCCATGCGTCTGCCAGCCTGGGATCGCGTCGGGTCGCTTTTGGACGGCCAGCTGCTCTCGGCCGAGATCATGGAGACCCCGAGCGCCTTGGTGAGGCGCTTCGCCTCCGCGCCCCCCGCCGAGGGCGAGGTCTACGCCTTCCACGACGATGGCTGGTGGCCCGACCCCGTGGCTGCCGTGAACGCGGTCCCCGCCGAGATGCTGGCCTTTCTGGACTCCCTGCGGGGCGCTGGCGAGCCCGCGCTCGAGGCGACAGGCGCACCTCAGGAGATGGGGCAGGCGTCGTCCGCTTTCGGACCGCAGCTTCGCCCTCCTCTGGTGCCCGGGCTGCAGCCAGTGGCCGCAGGGGCTGGGTTCGGCGCGTGGTTCTCCGGGGAGGCCTCTCCGCTCCCTCCAGCCGTCACGACGCCTCCGAGCGAGCTGTTGGAGCAGTCGCAGCTGGGTGCGGTCGAAGAGTTGAGGAACCTGGCCGCGGAGGTGGCGGAGCTCAAGCGGCAGCGGGCAGCCTTGCAAGCGCAGCCAGCTGCGCCGCCCGCCGCCTCGAAGGCTCCGACCCGGAAGGCCGCCGCCAGGAAGGCGCCGCAGCAGCAGCAGCAGGTCCTGGAGCAGATCTTGGCCAGGCAGAACGCGCTCTTGGGGAGGATCGCAGCCTTGGAGGCCGGCGCAGGGCCATCTCGGAAGGCGGCGGCCCCTCTAGACTGGCGCCTGCCTCAGGCGGCCAGCGTGGGCCCGCCCTTCGGACTCCTCGGCCCCCCTCCCCTCGGCGGTCCTCCGCCGGCGGCTCTCGGAGGCGGGGTTCTAGCCCCTCAGGGCCTGCCCGCCGCGCGCGCCGCGGCTGCCGCCGCCGGACCTCCTCCGCCTCGCCGGGGAGGTGCGGCGAACCCGTTCCTGCAGCGGCCCCCCCCCGGCCAGGCGACCGCGGGCCCCCCAGGCTTTGCTCCGACGCAGGGCCCTCCGCCCCCGGCTCCACGCGGCCCGGCCCCTCCTCCTGCGAGCCAGACCGCAGAGCCCCAGCCCTCTGTGGCTCCCACAGGAGCCGGCGACCGCGAAGAGCAGCTGATGGCCCTGTTGGCTCGGCAGGCGTCACTGATGGGGGCCCTGGCTCGGAGCGGCGGTCGCCAGCCCGTCGCGTTGTCGCTCCTCGCGGACGGCGGGCACGACGACGGGCTTGGCGAGAGCTCTGGCATGCGACTTGGCGGCGCGCGCGGCGCCGCCGCCCTGGAGCTGTTCCGACGCCAGGTCCAGAGCAGCCCCCAGGCTGTCTCCGCCCTGGTCAGGCGGAGTCGCCAGCTCAACATGACGGGTGTTGCGAGCGAGGAGGGCATGAGCGACTCCACGCGGAACTACTTCGCCCGCAACGTCCCGTTCGGGCAGGCGAGGTCGTCGGCCTTCCTGGTGTTCGGCATGGCGGAGGTGTTCGACCTGATGGAGCGCGGCGCGTGGCACGCCGCCGAGGCTCAGCTGGCGCTCCTCCTCTGCGCGTCGGAGCGGGCGGCCCTGAGGGAATGGCGCTGGGCGTCAGCCTGGCTGCTGACTCACCTGCCCGAGCCGCCCTGATCCGTCAGGCGCCGGCCCGCGGGCAGATCCGCCCCATGTCCCGCTTGGCCTCGCCCGAGTGGGTCGCTGCAGCGATCGGCTACACCAAGGACACGCTGGCCCTCGAGGACGCGGAGCGGAAGCTTGCGCCGGCCGCGGCACCGAGGGCCGAGGAGGGCGGCGGAAAGGGGGGGGGCTCGAAGCGCCAAGGCAAGTCCGCCGGCGCTCCCCCTCACGAGTGAGAGCGGGGCTCCCTGGGCTGGCTGGCCCGGGAGCTCTGCATGGCGCTGCCCCAGCCTCTCTGCCGCGTGGACGCGCGGGGGACCGCAGGAGGCTGGTGGGCGGCAGCAATTCACTGGACGTGGGCATTCGCTGGGGCTTCGGCCTGATCCGCCGCCTGCGCGGGCTCCGCACGGCCTTCGGCGCCTTCGTCCGCTCCTCCATGCACGCCGCTGGGTTCCAGGAGGTTGCGACTCCTGCCGCCGGTCTGCTGCCCTGCCCCCCGCCCTTCGGGTGGGCTGCTGGTGCCCCCCCGCGGGGCGTGCGCGCTCGCAGGCGATGGCTCCGCACTCACGTCGAGCACATGTGGGTCAACGCCGGCATCCTCGCGCTCTCCCACTTGCACCTGGGCGAGTCGCGGAGCTGCCCGCCGCGCGCCCGCGCTGGGAGGCCTCTCAGTTCGTCTCAGTCCGAGATGATGTCCAGGCTGAGTAGGCTCGTGCGACCGATGTGCCGGCCCCTGCAATGGCAAGGTGGCCGCGTGGAGAAGGCCGACGCTCTGCTCGACTATCTCCTGCGTGCGATGCATCTCCCCGTGGGCGCTGTGGCGCCCTCTCCCGACTGCGAGATGATGACCATTGACCCGAGCAAGGCCCCCTTCGCCAAGGCCGAGTGCCACTTTGACCCCCTGGCGTTCCTGGCCCCGTTTGCCGCCGCCACGTTCTTGGAGCCGCGGCTGCTGGCGCGGGGCGGGCCAGGTGCCGGCCCTCTGGCGCGCGCGGTCGGGCCCCCGGCCGGGCCCGCTCCGGCAAGGCCGGCCCGCCAGGCGGGCAAGCCGGGCGACCTCCTCGAGTACCTGAAGCAGTGGGACGACGTGGGGCGACTGGAGCTGGTCGACGCAGCCGACTCCCCGCAGTCCCTGCGAGGCACCCTGTTTCCCGTGTTCAAGGACGCCAGCACGCAGAGGGTCGTCTTCAATCGCATCGCTCGCAACTCGTCCGTGTTGCCACTGGGTGGCTTCTCCAGGCTGACCCCGAGCGCCGCCATGCTGGTGGACCTGGAGGTGCCTGCTGGTTCCGTCCTTCGCGTCTGGGCGGACGACCTCCAGGACTTCTACCCCGCCTTTGACTGCACCTACGACATGGCTTGCACCAGCGACGTGGCGCTCCCCCTCCCGACGAGGCTCTACGAGGGTTTCGCAGCGCTGGGCCGGCTTCGGAAGCGCTGCCGTCGCGAGGGCCGCGAGCTCCCCGAGAAAGTGGTTCCCTGCCACGGCGGCCTGATCATGGGGGGCCTGAACGCTCCCGACTGGGCGTGCGAGTCTCACATGCGACTGCTCGCCCAAGCCGGCAGCTTCCCCCCAGAGCGGCGGGTGCTGAACCGCCACCTTGCCCCCGAGGGGTCTGCCTGGGAGGGCGCCGTGCTGGACGACCACTTCGGCCTGGCTGTCGACGCTCCGGGCTCGCGGGAAGCTCGGCGAGCTATCGAGGAGTTCTTCGCCCGCGCGCGCGAGGGCTATGCGAAGGCGGGCCTCAGGGTCAGCGCTGGCAAGGAGGTGGAGGACGCGGCGGAGGCGACGGTCATCGGGGCAGAGCTCCTGGGTCATGACCGGCTCGTCGGCGCCTCCCGCACCCGCAGGCTGGCGCTGGCCTGGATGGGCCTGTCCATGGCTCGGGGCCGACGCTCCACTACGCTGGGACTGCAGAGATTCCTTGGCATGGGGCTCTTCGCCGCGCTGTTCCGGCGGCCGACTCTGTCGCGCTTCTCCACCACTGCTACAAGGAGGTC